AGGTTTCAGGAGGAAGCTCTGCAGAGGCAGCGAGTGGCAGAGCTGTGCCTGGCGCTCCTGCAGCCACAGGGCTGCTGGCGGAGACAGGGCCAGCTCCCGAAGCAGGGCCAGGGAGCTGGGGACACAGCACAGGTCAGGGTGGTGGCAGGGAGCAAGGGCAGGGGAGGCAGGGCCAGGGAATGGCTAGGGATCGGGAAGAGTCAGGGTCTGGCAGGCTGGCAGGGGCGGGAGCTGACTGGGGTGTGTGTGTGCGTGCGTGCGCGTGTGTGCGCCTGTGCACATCAGCCCCTGGGGGCCCCGCAGGGGCTCCTCGCCCTCACCTCGGATAGTTCATGCAGTACAGCGTGTAGATGTCAAAATCCTCGCTCTGCGGGTGACATGGGAGTCAGGTCAGGGAGACCCTGGGCCCAGGCTCCCGTGACTCCCCCAGCCTGACCCAGGTCTGCCATCCCCCAGCCCCAACCTGGACTGAGACCTCCTCGCCCTCCACCCCCCGCTCACCCTCTGCATGAAGCACTCGGCAATGCCCCCTGCACCGCTGCGGCCTTCCAGGTCCTCCAGGAGCTCGCTAGGGGGAGAGGCAAGGTGAGGACAGCCCCGTCCCCACAACTCTCCCACCCACCCACGGGAGAGCTCCAGGAAGCAGATGTCCCAACGGTCCCCTGAGACTGGGGGTGTGGCGGCTGCCAGGACCTCTCCAAGGGGTCCCCTGTCCGGAAGGAGGCTCCTGCGATCACTACACGGGAAATGGCAACCTGCTGAGACTCTGTCCTCGGACACCTGAAATCCCATCACAGCCTTTACAACTGACATGAGCCTGGGGTGCCGTGTCATGACCCCGGGTGAGGCCTCGTGACCTTATGACCTGGCCATGATCCTGAGATCCCGTCGTGCAATAAACTAAAGATCCTGTCAGGATACTCAGAGGGGTCGGGACCTATGGGCCCCGTCCTCCTCCTCGCCATGGTGACCAACTGTCCGGGTCTGCCGAGGACTGAGGGGTTTCCTGGAACACAGCACTGAGCGCCAGTGCTAGGAAAGCCCCGGGCACACAGGGACAAGCTGGTCCCCCGAATCCTCACACTCACACTCCTCAGGCCCCAAAGGATTCCTGACAATCCCAGACGGAGATCCGTCCTAATGCCTGGGACAGCTGACTCCCATCCACCCTAGTTCACCGCCGCTCTGGACCCTCAGGACTCAGTGCCCCTGCCTGCCCCACCAGCACCTGACCTGCTGAACTCGTAGATGTCCTCGATGTTGGCAAACAGCGTGCCCACCTGCTCCACACTCAGGCCCAGGGCCCCGCCGTCCAGCAGAGGGCCCAGGTAGTCCTGTAGGGATGGCTTGGGTTACAGGGCCCAACAGCCCGGCCTGGGTCCCCACTTGCCCTCAAGTGCCTGCCTATCTCACCTCCACGATGCTGCGGAGGTCTCGGACGTAGGCCCGCTCGGTCTCCACGATCTCTCGGGCCACACGCTCTAGCCGCGAGGGTTTTGCTGAACCTGAGGTCCCCACAGGTGACAGATGCAGGCGGATGGGGGGCCCTGGAAGGGGCTCTGGCCTGGACGCTGAGCAGGCTGGGGTGGGCCCTGGGGCCGGGTCCCCCTCAGAGCCCACAGTGCTCAGGGATGTGGCGCTCCCAGAACCTCGGGGGGAGGCCATGGCGGGGGCTGTGGGGCATGGAGCAGAAGGTCAGAGGTCTCTCCAACTGCCAGCCTCCCACAGCCCCTCATGTACTCAGCCCCCACATTCACCCATACCTGGTGAACATTTCTCCCATGAGCTCCCCTTGCCCTGCTCTCCCCACTGCTCTGGGCTTTGTTTGGTCCAGTCCTGTCCTCTCCCACCAGACTCCCTGACCAATCAGCTCCCTGGGCTACAGGTATCTGCTCTCTCCCGTCTCATCCACCTCCCTGCGTCAGCCAGGGCAATCTTTACTAATTTGCTATCTGACCCTGTCACTCCCAGGAGTAAAACCCCTTCATGCCCTCAGGATGAAATCCAAACTCCTCAGCCCCACAGGGCCCTCCACAACGTGGCCCTTACAGGCCTTTCAGCCTGCTCTCGTCGCACAGCTGCATCGCATCGCTTCTTACACTCCACATTCCAGTCACACTCAACCTCAGTTACTTAAACAGGCAGCCTGCTCTCACTTCTGGGCTGCTGCACATACTGTTCCTTCAGTGTGGAATACCCTTACTTACTTTGGCCTAACTCATTCCTCCTAATCTTTCCATTCTCAGTTTAGATGCCCCCTTTTCCAGGAAGTCTTCCCTGATTTCCCAGGCTGGGTCAGGTGCCTCTTCTAGGCTCCCATAGCCCCCGAGGCTTCCCCCCACACCCCCAAGCCATGACCACTCAGCCCGGGGCTTCCCCTCCGACTTTCCCACCGTGCTTGGAGCTCTGTGTGGGCAGGGCTGTGGCTTCTCAGTCACCCTGTGTTCCCAGCATCGCCCAGCACTGGGCCTGTCACAGAGCAGTAGGGGTGTCCCCCATCTTAAATGAAGGAATGAATGCCCAGCAGGCTCCACCCCTGCCTTGCCCACTCACCTGACCCCGTCTCACACACAGATGGACAGTCACACACGTCACCTCTTCGGCCACACCCAAGGTTGGGGCTGGGCTTGGACAGTCCGTGGGCTCCCTCAGGCATGGCTGAGTGTGCTCAGAGCAGTGTCCTGCAGAAAGACCCCCTTCTTGGATATTGGGACCCCTCCACGGACCTCCCCGTCACCCAAGCTTCATAGATTGAGGGCTGGGGTCTAAAGTCAGGGAAGGACCCTTGGGAGTAACTAACTGGGGAGACCCAGGCAGAGTGACAGAGAGAGGAACAGGGAAAGATAACACAGAGAGAGGGCAAAGTTCAGACCGAGTGAAGACAGCAAAGGAGTCCCGCCGTGGCCCCAGGCAGAGCGGCAAGAGGCTCAAAGACCCTGGGAACCTTTGTACTCTGGCTGGAGCGGAGGGTGAGGGGCAGGGCTGGGAAAAGCCGTGGGCGGGCGGCCGCGGGGTCCCAGGGGAAGGCGGAGGAGGCTGGGGGACCGGATGCCAGGGTCCGGCAGACAGACGGCTCCCTCCCCCGCCGATGGCTGCGCGCAGGGGCGCTGTCCCTGAGCCCTCGACCACCCCCCCCCCGCTCCTTCAGCCGGTCTCCGCGATCCCATCACCAGCCCATCGCCCAGCCTCCCCAACGCTTCCCGGCGCCCCTCCGGCCCCCAGCTCCCGCCGGCGCCTCGGCCCACCCCCACCGGCACGCCCCCTCATTGTTCAGCGGCCGGCACCGCCCCCTCCCCGAGCCCGCCGGGGCCCCTCGCCTCCCCCTCACCTCCCGGGAGCCTCCAGCCCCGGCCCGAGGCCGCCCGGTTCCTATTCGGCGGTAACGCGGTCCCCGCGGAGGCGCGGAGCCGGGATCCCCAGGTCTCTGCGACTCGGGGCGTGAACTTCGGACTCTCAGGCTCCGGGAACCGGGACCCAAGTCTCTCGGAGTGTAGGATCCGGCGGTCCGAATTTCTTGGTCCTCTAGATGGGGGATGCGGGAGCCTCGACTCCTGAGTCTCAGATGGGGCGCTGGGGACCCAAATTCCTGGGTCTTCTAGGTAGGGCTGTGGGGGCCCGGAGTCCTGAGTTCCCCAACTTTTGGGGCGGGGGCTTAAACTACCTCCAGGAGGGAGCGCGGGGGGGGGTCCCAAACTCCTGGGTCCCCTTGAAGTGGAGGGAGTTGCAGCCCAAGACAGGTTGGTTGGGGCGCTAGGGGTCTGGATCCCGAGTTCCTCCAACCCAGGGGTCCTCGGTCCGGATTTCTAGGAATCCCTGACGGGAATCCGCGGTCCAGGGTCCAGAATCCCGAGTTCTTCAAACGAGGGTACGGGAGGCTTGGCCTCTAGGGTCCCGCGGGGCTGACATCCCGGAGGCCCGGCTCCTCCAGGAGGGGGCGCTGGGGGCCTAGATATCTGGGGTCCTCCTGCCTAGGCGCGGGGGCCTGGACTTCGGGGTCTCTCAGGAGGCGGTCCAGAAATTCTGGACGCCGGGGTCGGTGGCTCAGGGCTCCGGCAGCGATAGCGGCGACACATCTGGGGCGGGAGAGTCCGGCTCCGGGGGGGGGCAGGGGGCGGTCGCCTGGGGTTTCCCCTCCCCCCTGCCGCCCGGGCTCATATCCTGTTCCCGCCCGCGGGGGGGAGGGGCCGCCTTCCGGCCGGCCCGCCAGCAAAGGGTTAAGACCCCCACCTCCCCGGATTTCTGAATATTCATGAGGAGGCGCGTCCCAGGCAGGCTACGCCCCTACATTCCAGGCGCCTCGCGGGCTTTTCCCTTTTACAGCAAGGGCCTTCGAGCGTGAGAATCCGGAACTGGCCACGAGGTTTCTCTTATTGGTTAACCAAAATAACTTATTTGCATATGAAACGTGGGGCGGGGCTGTCCGGCGGGGGTGGGGGTGGGGGTGGTCATGTGGCAAGAAACAACTGAAGGACCCTGCCGCGCTGGGGTGCGGCCGGAGCTCCAGTGGCGCAATCGGTTAGCGCGCGGTACTTATACGACAGTGCGGGCGGAGCGATGCCGAGGTTGTGAGTTCGATCCTCACCTGGAGCACGTTAGTTTTCTCTTCTCATTTTTTATAAATTTATAAATCTTATTGATCAGCGGAGACATCTATGCTACGTAGAGTAATAAACAATTCGATCTTTGGAATTTTGGGGTTCGAAAGACTCGGGATTCTGGCGACAATGGGTTGTGAAGAGAGAGGCGATCTATATCGTGGGAAGGTGCCTTTTTGTCGCGGCCACCAGGGGGCGATATCGCCTCTTAATAGATCCCTTGGGCAGCTAATTGGAACCGAGAATCTCAGTTTAAGACGTCTAAAGAGAAGATCTTTCAGGCTGTGGGAAGCTGTATATAGGACATTGTTTCTCCGTCTTTCTCTGTCTTGGATGTCCCAGCTCTCGTCTTTTTCCCTGTCAGTTTCTGAATCTAGTTTTATTCAACAAATACTGAGCACCCACTAGATGCCTTGCTCTGTTCTAAAAGTGTAAGATAAAATCCCTCCCCCTGAGGACTTGACATTCTAGTAGGGGAGGCAGACATTAGCAATAAATATAGCAACCAAGTACATTTTATCTATTGTTGTTGTTAGGGGCCATCGAGTCGGTTCCGACTCATAGTAGGTCAGAGTAGAACTGCCCCATAAGGTTTTCAAGAAGCAGCTTGTGGATTGGAGCTGCCGACCTTTTGGTTAGCAGCCGAGCTCTTAACCACTCACTACGCTACTAGGGGTAGGGGGTGATAGATGTCACGGAAAAAGTACAGCTGGGTAAGAGGGGTGGGGGAAACGGAGGTGGGTGTAGAGTGCAATATTAAATAAGGGGACAGTCTCGATGAGGTGACATTTGAGCAAACACTTGAAGCAGGTTGATGAGCCATGGAGAATTGTGGGGGAAAGGTGGCCCTGTGGCTAGAGCACGTCAGACGTGTTGGTGGAGCACCTAGGATGTGCGTGCAGCACGGGGCCTCGAGGTCAGGGAGGTGGAGGGAGCTAGGCCCGTGTGAGCTGTGAAGAGGACTTAGAACTTTGGCTTTTAGGAGGTATGACTCAGGTGCTCACAGTCTCCCTTTAGTTGCCGAGTGGGGTACTAGGGAAAAAACAGGACTTGGGCAGGAGCAGGGAGGCGGCGGAGGGACTGCTGCAAGGACTATCGGTTGGGGAGACAATGCTGGACAGGAGGGGGGCGTTGAGGAGGTTCAGACAGGACTGCTGTTGAATTGGGTGTGGGTTGTTCGGCCTGTTGTTAGATGCAGTTTTCTTGGATGAGGGTTTTTTTTTTTTTTTTTCAGAAGGGGCAGAGAATCCGTTTCTGCTAAGGGAAGGACCAGGGATATCTGTCTCTCATTTTCTCAGTGTCTCTATTTCTGCAAATGTCTCTATATCGCTGGCTATTGCTCTCTGCCTCCCCAGTGTCTTGGCGGTCTCTGGGATTCTGTCTCTTCCTCTCTCCCAACCCTCTTCCCTGGGATGTCGTAGTCTCAGCGCCTGAGCTCTTCCCCACCTTGGGGGCAATTTCCTGGAAGAGGAGACCAAAAGCCCGGGTCAGCCAGTGGGCAAAGGGAAAGGGACGTGGAGGAGTGAGAGGGGAAGGGAGGTGTGAGGGGGAGGGGAGGGAGAGGAGGGAAAGGGGCTGGGAGGGGAAGAGGAGGAGGGAGGGGACGGCTGGGGGAGGACAGAGGGAACAGAGGGGTAGGGAGGGGAGGAGGGGGCAAGGAGGAGCGACAGGGCAGGGAAAGGGTGGTGAGGGAAGGGAGAGGGAGAGGATACTGGGGGAAGGGGGGTGAAGAGGATGAGGAAAAAATAGGAGGCAGAGGAGGAGGAGGGAGGGCTGAAGGCTGAGAGGAGGAGGAAGAGACAGGGAGGGGGAGGAGGGGTGAGGGTAGGGCTGAAGCGAGGGTGGGAACGAGCAGAGGAGAGGGAACGGGGGAAGGAGGAGGGGGAGAGGGTCTGGTTGAGGGGTTGGGACCGGTGCCAAACAGGGGCGGGGCGCAGGCCCTGACGCGGGGCCGTTTCCGGGCGCGGGGCTACCCCGCCCCGGGGGTGGCTCCCGAGGCCTCTTGCCTTGTATGGTGCGAGCTTGCGGCTCGCCGGGCCCCGCCCTGCGACGCGCGGCCACGACTTGGGATCCACTGCGCTCAGGAGGCTGACCCTGGCTGGTCCGGAACCTGCCTGGGAACCTGCAGCTTCCAAGGTTCCGAAATGCCGAGATCCCGTCACTCTGACCTTTCAGAAGGCTGACCTGCCAAGATTCTGTAGTTCCCAGGTTCTAGGATCTTGGAAAGGAGCCCTGGTGGCCCAGTGGTTAAGGGCTCCCGCTAACCCGGAGGTCGGTGGTTGGTACCCACCAGCCGCTCCGCGGGAGAAAAGACCTGGCGATCTGCTCCTGTAAAGATGACAGCCCAGGAAACCCTATGAAGCAGGTCTACTCTGTCCTATAGGATCGCTATGAGTCGGAATGGTCTGGAAGGCACACAACAACAGGAAGCTGGATACCAGAATGCTAGAATTCTGCGATTCCTAACGTCTCGAGATGCCAAGGGTCTAAAATTCTGGGGGTCTAGAATTCTAACTCGCCAAGAGACAAATTCTGAGATTCCAAAATGTTGAGCGTCTAGAATCCTGACCCTTTAAAACAGTTTCCTCCAAGATTTCGAAAGAGTCTGGATTCTTCAGAATCTCAAATCCTAAAGCGCTGGCTTCCGGGACCCCAGAACGCCTGGGTGGGCGTTTCCGGGCTGACCCTTCCCGACCCTCCGCCCCCAGCACCCCCGCGCGGGACCCACCCCTGCCCGCCCCTGGGCTCGCGCGCTGGCACATTCCGTCCTCCCCACTCCGCCCCACCCTCGGCCCTCGGCCTCGTGGGGACGGAAACATCCCGTCCCCGCCCGCGCCCGGGCGAGAGCTAGGTCAGGGTTCCTGACGGGGCGGGAACGCCTCCGTCCCCCACGCCCCGGGAACTGGCTCTCCCGATTCCTACCAGGTGATCTCACCTGGCCCCGCCCCCTCAGGTGAACGGTCGGTCGATGGCGTCACTTCCTGCCAGGTAAGCGCCCCAGGCAGCTCGGCTCCGGGAAGTTTGGAGCTCTCATTTAACTTTACCCCGCTTCTAAAAAGGGCCACACCATCCTTCCCGTTCCTCACTCCCTTCAGACGGTAGAAAAGTCATGATTCCAGTCCAGACGTTGATTCTTTTTATTCAAAAATTCCAAAAAAACACAAAAATAGACTTTGTAGGTAACAATATATATATTAATATATTATTATAGTATATTTATAACAATAATTATTCCATTATTTCCAATATTACGAAGGAGGAAGAAAAATACAAGGGGGAGCAGACGACCCAATATATATAAATACTATAAAATCTATTAGAATAAATAAAGTCGTCATAAATAAAAGGCCCATTGGCTTGGGGGGAGGGTGGCAACGGCTTTGGCTACTTGCTTTTGGAGAGAAATTAGAGCACCAGGATTCCCCCTCGGGGGAGGCTCCACTAACCCCCAGACGCTGGGACCTCAGGTCTTAGGGAAAGTGGGGCGGGGGCAGTGGGGGCCTATTATTCACAGCACATGTTCTAAGACACAGATTTGGGCAGGGGAGAGATGCGGGCCTCACGGCCTCCCTCAAATGTGCTACATCTTGTCTTTAAAGAATCCAGCAAACACTCCATCCCCACACCATAAACACTGTCCAGCTTGCACACTGGGGACCTGCCCCAGGGTAGGGTCAGACGAGTGGGTTAATGCATTTTGGAAGGTGAGGGGGGCTACTTGATTAAGTTTAGGGCTCCCCCAGTTCCCCACAGCCCCAGGGCCCATGTGGAGCCCACAGCGTGAGAAATGGCTCCCCTTTGTGATCCAGCTGATCTGTACTAGGCAGGCACTTGTCACTCAGAAACGGAGATGCGATTGAAGATGGGGAGTCGGCGGGAGGCTGCAAGTGGCTGGGGTGGCCCAAAAACCCCCGCCTCGAAGACGGGGGAGTCAGAGCCCCCGAGGCTGCTGCCGCTGCTGGCATATTCATCAGGGTCGGATCCCAGGGAGTGTGCAGAGGGGCTCCGAGCCAGGCCACCCAAGGGCCCCCAGAGGCTGGGAGTTGCTCTGCGACAGGAGGGGCAACAGGTTGGGGTGGGGTCCCTTCGGGGCACAGGGGTCCCAGGGGCAGCAGAGAAGGCAGAGGGCGAGAGCGGAAGGTCCCCAGGCGGTGGTGGCGGGGAGCTGGAGGGCGAGAAGGAGTAGGAGGACAGGGAAGGGCCTGGGAGGCCGGCCGGTGGTGGTGACGCTCGGCGGCCCGAGGGCAGGCCGGAGAAGCTGATGCTCTGGCGCAGCACGTGGGGGTGCCCAGGGGTGGCCAGGTCCTCGCTGGGGTTGTGGATGAAGTGGCAGCGCGAGCCGTACGGGCAGCGGCCCTGGAGGTAGAACTTGTGGCAGAGTTCTGTCTTGTACTTGGGGTGGCGATTGGCCTGGCGCAGCTCACTCAGGCCGTGTGCGAACTGACACTTCGCCCCGTACCGACAGCGTCCACTCTCCGAGAAGGTCCGACACAGCTCAGTCTTGTAGCGGGACGAGGTGGCCGGGGTTGCAGTAGGCGAGGTGGGTGAGGGCGACAGCTCAGGGCCTGGGCGTGGAGCCAGGGGTGCGAAGCCTGGGGGGGGTGGCACCCAGGCGCAGGCGCGGCCCTCCACCAAGCTGGTGGAGCGGCCGGGCAGACGGGGGGCCACCCCAGCAGGGCTGGAATCCGATGAGCTCCAGGGTCCCCAGGAGGGCCATCCCAGACTGGACTCCGTGCCTCCGCGGGTCCCTGCCAGGTCAGGGCTCAGCGACGGGAGGCTCTGCGGGGACAGGGAGCGGTTAAGACACCGAAAATGCAGGGTGACGCTCCGCCCAGCTTCAGGGCAGGCACCTCAAGAGCTTGCCCGCCCGGTTTGTGGGCTCCGGCTGGAGCCCCACCCGCGCGCAGAAATCCGGGGTTTCGGCATCCCAGAGATCTCGATTTGGAGGTTTTGAGTTTATCCACGACTGAAGCCTACTCCGGGACACCCAGGAGTCTGGGCTCCCCGATACCGGCACAGAGGGGGCCCGAAGTCAGGGCACACCACTGCCCTCCAATTTTGAGCCTCTGGGACTCCCCGGATCTGACCCATGGATCCGGGATGGCCAACATCACACACAACTGGAGGATCTGGCAAAGTTAACCCCGGAGTCCGGATCCCTTTGACTTAGTTCTGAGAGCTGTCCCCGGGACAGGGAAGCAGGCAGGGAACAGAGGTCGTCTTCCCCCCCAGACTCTTGCCCCAGAACTGCCTCCGCGCAAAACCGCGCCCTCAGCAACTCCTAGGGGTAAACCAGGTGTGGGGGCCATTCCGCCTCCAGACAGCCCCTCGTGGGAGAAAAATCCTCCGGCTATCCATCCCCACGGCCCCCCCACCCATATATAGGACGAAACCCGGGAGTCGCAAGCTCGGTTTTCGCCTCCTGAAAGAAAGGCAAGGGCCCCGGGCCGGAGTGGGTGGCGCTAAGGAGCCCCAGTTTGAGAAGGGAGCCAGGGACTCCAGGCTGGAGTTTGCGGCGCTAGGGAGCGCTAGTTTGAGAGGGGGTGGCGGCTGTGGGGGCTCACCTCGTAGATGGCGGTGAGATCCATGGCGGCGCGTGTGGCCGATCTGGGAGGGCTCTGCCAAAAGTGGGAGCGATGAAGTCAGAGGCTGCGTTGGGGCTGCAGAGGCACCTTCTTATAGACAGAGGGT